TTCAACTCTATTTTGACTTGTGTATTTTTCTAGAGTCAAAACCTTACCCTAGGTTTATACTTATCCCTATTTGATCTTCATGAGATATGTAAATCAACTACTTGATAAATTTCTAATGTCTATCACCCCATGTTAAAAACTAAGACATTAGCTTAACCTTCTACCCTCATTACAAATTGGTATTTTAATACTAAAAAAAATAATTCTTGTATTTGTGTGTGATTTAAATTTTAAGAAAATATTATAATATATTTTTTCAAGTAGATGATGACATATGTAGAATGATATAATCAATGTTGAATCGTTATTTGAAAGTTCTTTCAAAAAGTCATTTATAAAACTGAAAATTTTGATATTTGGACACCAAATCCTTAAAATATTAAACTGTACATTAAGATTGATGTCATGTTGCAATTTGACAAAAATATTTGGTCAATATATAGACATGTCAATCAAAGATTTTATAATATATCAGTGATATTATTTTTTTGTTATGATAGATTGAATTATTTAGAAATCTTTTGTCATGTCATATGTTAATCTTTATAGTACAATATCTATATTTATTTCTCTTGAAATTTGGTCTCACTTGATTGGGTTGACCAATGGGTTGTCACACTTTCTCTCTCAAGACCATGATAAGTTGAAAGTTTTCAAAGACAACTATTTTGATGATGACAAAATATCTAGAAAGATAATTTAGTGATTTAATAGTAGTTGAATTATATGTTCAAATGATGTTGATTACTTTATATAGAGTACAAGATAGAACAATCAAGCGCACTTCCAAAAATATAAGGCTCAATAGTATGATTGAATTTTATAAATTGCCTCAAAGACAAGATGATCAAATATTTATGTTTTTGAAGCTTTATGAAATGAATTTGGATTCAAAATGTATTAATAATGTGAGTATAAAGTTTCTCACTTGAAAGAAAATCATAAGATAAATAAATGCAGCAAATTATGCATTAAGATGTAAAATTTTAAATCCTTATATTTTAAAATAATTAATATATTAAGAAAATTATTTGAGGGCATAACGGACCATATCACTAACTCATATGATTAAAATGATTTTTAGTTGTAAGATGAAAGTTAACTTTAAGAGGAATATAATGTAGTAAGTAATGCACAAACAACACATTATGGACCAATCACTAGTTGTTAAGTTGCAATGCATTGACAAATGGCCATTGTATAAGAGAGGAACCTTTTCCCTAAATTAAGTAAAATATGAGAAAAATGAAGAAAAGGTAAAAGAAGAAAAGCTTCACATTGTCTATTGATGTGACTTAGTCATTGTATAGTAAATCACGTAAATTTAAAATTTATAAATATAATTTTTTAGATATTTAGAAGTATTTATAAATAAATATATTAATCATAATTCAATAGAACTTCTAAAAATAGTGGTAATTTTCTAAATCGATCACAAGGATGTAATATATCAGATAATTATTTCGAATTTTGTCAAAAAATACTATTTTTTTATGAATTTTATACTAAGAAATAAAAATAAAATATATTTAAAATTTATAAAAAAGAAAAATAAGGGTGCAGATGTCAAGATAATATCGGCACCTAGCGAATATGAATCAGGCGAAAATAGAGTTCTATCTAAAAATTCTTACTTAAGTGATTACATACGACTTAATTGATCAAATTAAGATCTGTAAAAGCCAGAAAAATCGTAATTGAATGAAGTATAACTTGATAAATTTAAATCATACAAATTATCACTAAATGAAGTGAAAATTAAATTGAAAGAAGGAAAATAAAGTTTCGACACCGCGGTGGTAATGCGTTGACGATGCATTAAAATCTTGAACGTTCAAGAGGATCATCATATAGTGTCCACAGCCTCGAAGGCTCTCCTTAGACAAGGACGACATGAGCAATCTTTAGATCTTCTTGCGAAGTCTAGAGATCAATGAAATGAGTCGTCGAATCATCTCCGGCAACAGTCACCTAGTGGAGCAGAAAAACAACAACTTTGTGGCTCTCCGGTGATTGTCATCCAACAAAGAGAAGCTAGATGGAGGTGGGGCGTGTGTCAAGAAACTTCATCTTCAGGTCCACGCAGCAAAAAGAGGCTCTTCATCGCATTCGGTATGCTCTCATGAGGTAACAACTCATCTCCCAGTGAATCGTCCTCTTCTCGACGACGACTTGTTCGTCGATCAATTGAAGATACTTTACTCGATGGATTTATAATCTTTTTATTACGAATCATTTGGTCATTTTAGTAACAATACTTTATGAATTGTATTGATGAGATTTTCACTAATGATTCAGTAATTCTAACAACTTAATCCCTCACTGTCGATCTATAGGAAAGTCATGATAATCAGATAAAAAATATGAGTTTTGGCTCTAAGAAGATTCAAGCCTACGCCGATTACCTACCTACATGAGAGAGATTAAAATAAGTATTATAATACACTTATCAAATGACGTCATTATAGTATATATCTGTTATAAATAAGGGGTATTATAAGTATTAAAATTATTGAAGCCTTTTAGGGAAGGTGTGACGTGATGTAAGTTTAGTCTCACATCGCTTGTGCACCGAAGTTTCAGACGAATATATAGTAATATTATATTTACAAGTAAGTCATTTTCTCCTATATGTACGACCATTCTTTACCCCACAGCCAATTGGCCATCGGTGATGTGGAAGCAGAGTGATGCACACGTGCCCCCATTAGTCCTAGCCACTCGAGCCCCCCTACTTGTGGCTACTCTCCAACTACGCTTTCGACCCGCTTGCAAGCATGGCTGGCCAATGGGTACCTCACATTCTATTATATTTTTATTTTTATTTCTTTTTTATTTATCTTAAAAATAACATTATAAAATCATATAAATTTATAAAAAAATCATATAATTAACCAAAAAATTACGTTAATCAATTAAAAACTACTTTTCATATTTTAACACAAATATAAATTTATTTATTATGAGTTAAGGCTAAAATTATATTATTTACTAATTATTAACTCATGATAATGAAGACTTATCATTCATCCTTAGCTTCCTCATTCAAGCAGTTCAAGTCAAATTTCATACTCTTGAGCATCTACAAAAATAGAAGATCCATATTTACTCAACATTGTTTGTCATAAACATTCTAATTCACGTCACCTTTGATTTATTTTTCCACTTTTAATTAAGTGAAAATGAACAAGGAATATTATGCTAGCTCCCTATAAAATATAAATACTAGTTGAACATATTTGAAAGATTCTAAATTTTGATGCAACCTTTATTGAAGTTAATAAACTTAATTACAATATTCTTAACCTTAAGACAATTTATAATATATTATGGAAATGTCTTTAGTCAACTTCAAAACTTCAAGCACTAAAAGTCAACAAATGGTGCTAGTTAAAGTTATAAAAATAAATAATGAAATAAAATTGATTTTGTAGCATAGTAATTATATATATAAATATATATTTATCATGTATTTGTTATTAAGATATATATATACACACACATCTCTACATAGCTTCTAATAATTTTAGCCTATTAAAAATTCATTCATATTATATTTACTTCTAATATTTTTAAATTTGGTCCTCAACTAGGCATTTCCTAGTACTTTGACTTACTATTTAAACAATGAGGTAATTATTCATTGTGTTGATTTACTTTAAAATATTGATTGTGTCTCTAGCATAGAGGTATAATAGGCAAATAATTTGGTTTTCTCTCATTATTTGAAATAAGCATTACACATATGATAATACCCACTTAAAGATACTTAAGGGCCGCCAATAATTGGGTTAAATCTTCAACATCGCATTGAATATGAGAATTTCTTTGATTGTAGGGAAAATAACTACCTAATGAGCAATAACTTCTCACATCCTGAAAGAAGAAATGTAAAAAATATGGCATAAAGTAAATTATAATATGCAGATGAGTCTAAAGGGAAGAGTATGAAGAGAGTTGATGATTAGAAGATTGAATCAAATGAAGAGAGTAAATTTTCCTTGTTCATTTCTCAAGGGCTAGAGAAAAATATTAACTCCATATAAATGACATTAGAAATGCACCACCATTAAACATTATCCACATACTATGTCATAGGTGTGTGTTATATTTTAAAAGATTATGATTTGGTTTTTTTCCTCCATATCTAAGATTTTAATAGACTTTTTGAATGGTGATGGAACAACAAGGCATTGTCTATATTTAAAAATATATGCAAAAGCTCTAGTGGATCATTTTCATTTAAATATATACCCAATGGACATGAAAACTCCATGGAGACCTGAGCGAAGAAGTGCACTTAAAACAGTGTGAAACCTTGGAGTGGGTAAGCAAAGGAAGCCTAATATCAAGTATAATTTTTCTCATATATCTTAATTTTTTAGAGTTTTAGGAAGAATTGTTCATTCAATGTGATCTACATATAAAATCAAAATTATTTTAAGATTTGGGTGATAGATGAAGTCACCTATTTTTGTGGGCCATGGAATGCCAAGTAGAATTATAGAAGATATCCATCCAAGCTATAAATAGAAAGCAAATCTGCAAGCTACTTTGGACATCTAGATTCCATCTTTAGTGATATCTCTTTGATGCCCATATAACATTATGGGCTCTTCCTATTTATAATACGGAAATTTTCATTCAATGATAAAAATATATATATGTGATCGAAAATCATTAGATTTAATATTTTTTCATCTTTTTTTCATCAAAATATAAATTAAAGTATAAATATGGTAGTAATTAACTTGGACCCCTCACCTTTGTGGATTTGATCCTGCAAGCCGCCAGATCAGCATACACGTGAGAACAACTGGATTTGAACTGTGAAGATGATGAAGGACACAAAGAGTATATTTTATTTGTATTTGTTTCAAGAAGTTGCATGATCCAATAATTTAACGACGGCATGGTCAACGGCCGTCAGCTAATTATCCTCCTCTCATCAGCCTCGCTGAAGTAGCAGTAGCCGTCTCTTTGACAGCGGCCGTCCCCCTCTATGGGTTAGTCGAGTCCGGTTCCTCGAGTGGCGGCACGATCCTCTTCCAGAACCAGTGCTTCCTCCACTGGAGGATCATCTCCTCGATGGGGATGCCCTTCGTCTCCGGCAGGAAGGCCCAGACGAAGCCCGTCATGGCGGTGATCCATGCGGCGAAGAAGAGGAAGATCCCGAACTTGAGCGAGCAGAGCAGAGACAAGAAGGACTGGGCGATGGCGAAGGTGAACAGCAGGTTCACCGCCACCGTAATGCTCTGCCCCGCCGACCTCGTCTCTAGCGGGAATATCTCGCTCGGCACCGTCCACCCCAGCGGTCCCCAGGACCACCCGAACGCCGCCACGAACAGGCACACCACCGCCACCACCGCTATGGAGAACCCCCTCGAGAGCTCGCCGGTGTCCGGCAGCTTCAGCCCCAGCATCACCGCCACCGTCACCTGCTCGTTCCAGCACTACGACGATGATGAGCCGGCGGCGCCACCTGTTTCTGAAAGAAAGAAAATGAGGGTGGGTTTCTTCTCACCTGGCAGACGATCATCTGAATCCCGCCGGAGATGAGCAGAGGCCTCCTACCCCACCGGTCGACGGTGGCGATGGAGACGAGGGTGGAGGTCATGAGAACGGCGCCGGTCATGACGGAGGAGTAGAGCGCCGCCCTGCCCTCGAAACCCATGCTCTGGAACAGCACCGGCGCGTAGAAGAGGATGGAGTTGATGCCGGTGAGGATCTGGAAGGCCGGCATGAAGATGGCCAGCACCAGCTGCGGCCGGTTCCTCCTCTCAAGGATGTTCCTGAAGGGGTGCTCAACAGAGATGGCCAGCTGACTGGCCTCCACCATGTCCTGGAGCTCGGCTTCGACATGGCGGGTCCCTCTGATCTTCTCCAGAACCCTTCTTCCCTTTTCGGGGAAACCCTGTTCGAGGAGACTATTGGGGGTCTCCGGGAGGAGGAACCCGCCGACGGTCATCAGCGCCGCCGGCACGGCGGCGAGGCCCAGGGAGAGCCTCCACCCCCACGGATCGATCCTCTCGGTGCCGTAGTTGACCATGTTGGCCGTGAAGATCCCCGTGGTCGTCGCCAGCTGGAACATCATGTTGAGCCCTCCCCTGAGGTGGGCCGGCGCCATCTCGGAGAGATAGAGGGGCACCGCCTGCGAAGAAGAAGACGAGGAAGGAGACGGAATTAGGGCACCCGATTTGCAGAGAAGTTTCGGAGGTTGAAGACAACTGAGGGGTGATTGATTACTTGGTTGCCGAAGCCGATGCCGACGCCGAGCATGATGCGGCCGAGAATGAGCATTATCAGGTTGGCGGCGGCGGCGTTGAGGGCGGCGCCGACGAGGAAGCTGATGCCGCCGCAGACGATGCTGGCGCGGCGGCCGTAGCTCCTCGTGACGGGGGAGGCGGCGAGGGAGGCGACGAGGCCGGCGAGGTAGAGAGAGGAGGTGAACGCGGCGAGGCCCTGGTTGTCGTACTTGCAGTAATTGCTCTCCGACTGGAAGTTCTTCTTCCTGTACACCGTCGGGAAGAACTTCTCCAGGAAGGGGTCCATCGAGGTCACCCCCCCTGCAACCAGATCCATGGAGATCACAGATTCAGAGGAGGAAGACGATTTAGAGGAAGAGGAGAAAGAAAGGGGAAAACCCTACCGGAGATGCCAATGTCGTAGCCGAAGATGGAGCCGCCGATTGCCGCCACAAAGGAGGCCATGACCACGAACGGCGTCACCCTCCCCTGATACTGCTCCGCCCTCTCCTTGGACACGCCGACGGCGCCAAGCGATCCACCCGCCATCACCTCCGCCGCCGCCCGCCGCCGCCCGCCGCTCGCCGCCGCTTCTCTGCTCTTCCTCTACCTCCCACTCCCGACTAGAAGCGGCTCCTTCGTGGAGCAGCAGACGGCGGTCGTTTTACGTGACGACGACGGTCCCTCGGATCAGGGTGCGTGTCAGAACGAGATCCATCCAGTTACCTTTGCGAAGTCAACGCGGAGACAGAAGTGTCCGACGCGATCGTGACCGATCAAAATCTGCAATTTTACAATCTAGTAATTACTATTACTAGTAGCCAGCTAACGCGTGCTAGGCTGCCGGTCCCCATCATCGTGCCCTCCCATCGAGAGTGCCACGTCAGTTGCTTATCGTGGCAGAAACTGGCCCACATGGGCACCGTTATAACTGAAAGGCGACGCTCATGTCACGTCAGCCTATTCAAAGAGCAGGCTGACTCGTGACGTGGATTCCTCCCCGCTTGTCGGATCAGTAGAAAGTCCAAACGCACAATGGGCTTTTTGGTCCGGCCTAGTAAGGAATGGTTCGTCGGAGGCTTTTGGGCCTGGACGATTTGGCCCAAGGCCAGCTAGCGCGAAAATCTATGAAGTCACGGACGGCTGGGATGAGAAATAGGTTTCATATCGTACGGTTGGATGCCACTGGCTTACTCTTCGTGAGGCAATGTCCTTCCCCGGAGGCAACCTCCTCCGTGAGGTAATCTCCTTCCCTGGAGTTATTATTCACGTGTATTTCATTTATTGTTTTATCTTTCGAAAATTGTGATCACGTGAACAACGTTTTAAGTATAATAAATATTTTACTGAAAAATAAAAATCCGCTCAACTACATATTTATTTTTAAAAGTATATTTTATTGATTTATTTTCCTTAAAAAATACCACCCATAAGCCTGATCTCCCAAATTTTCGTAAAATATATTCTACGTTGAATATATATGATTGAGGAAAAGGGAGAAAAAAGTTAACTGCTTTTTACTCCTAACCCGTTGACTTACCTCCAGTAATCACGTACTCGCACATTGATGCGTACGCGAGGAAAACTTATCTATTCGTGGGTGATGACACCATCGTGGAGAGATAATTAACAAGTCAAGGTGGGCCCCCATCAGGGGTCAAATAAAGCCAGCAGGGTCTCCCAACCAACGCCACCGGAGGTTGGTGCGCTCACTTTAGGTACAAAAGGTCAAAATCTGCGTTCAGTGATGCGATCATATTGATCCAAATGATGGGCATTAAACAGGTCGACTAATGATCTCCGTCAAGGTCGGTAAGAGATATTAATTACGACACTGACTATGAACGAGCGAAAGAGATGACCTTGAGACGGCGACGGCCCGCCGGCGAAGTACTACCCAGAACCGTTCGCCAAGCCGACCTCCGTGCCCCTCTCTCCTCCTCCCATCCGCCATGGGCTTCCCCTCGGCCTGCTTCTCCCTCCTCCGCCCGAATTCTATCTTCGAGAGGCTCCTGCAGATAAAGCTCTTCCTCTCCGCCGCCCTCCTCGCGCCTCCCACGGCAGCGCCGCCCGCCGACGACGACTACATCTACCGGCTTTCCTCGGCAGACCTCCCCTCGCTCCTCCCCGCCGCGGCGGCCCTGGCGGCCATCAGGCGGCACCTCCGCCCGGCGCGTCCCCCCGTTCCGGCCGCCGCTGGCCGTCGCTGCGCGGAGGAGGAGGAGGAAGAAGAAGAAGAAGAGGAAGAAGAAGAAGAGGAACCGCTGTGCGCCGTGTGTCTATGCGGCATGGGCAGGAGGAAGGAGGTGGCGGAGCTGGGCAGCTGCCGGCACGCGTTTCACCGGCGGTGCATCGACGGCTGGGCGGATGAGGGGTGGCGCACGTGCCCTCTCTGCCGATCGAGGATGCCGCTGGTGGGGGAGGTCTCCGTCTTCTCCGCCACGTCTGACCAGGAGCCGCCGCCCGGCGACCGCCGTTGACTTGTCTTACTCGGAAGCCGACTGGATTCCTCAACAGCATATTTGTGTATATACCCTTTTTTTCCGAAAGAAAATTATGATATCTCTACATTAATGAGACATGACGATAATAATAATAATTACTATTATTACGTTTAAATGAGTTCGAGGAGGAGATAGATCCACGCTGTCACCTCAGCTGTTTGTGTGGGGCATTAAATAATTTTAAATTATCATTGTACCATTTTGGAAGATTCAGGGGTGGTATTGAGGGAAAATATCTTAACTAGTATGGGATTGCAATCATGGGCTTCTGTTGTCGCGCTAGTGCAACCGCCTTACGCAGGTCCATTCCGACGTTCTCTTCCTGCGGATCGACCACGAAAACCTCTGGGGAAGTTCATTGATTGCCTTGGACGAGCCTCCGATTCTCTAATGGATTGCTCTGGATTCTTGTGATGGGCAGACGCGGGAGCGATTGGAGGCCAGCGCCATGGGACGCTGGGGGCGTCCCCTCCGGGGAGTGGAGAAAGGAGGGCTGGGGAAGGATCGACAACGGAATGTGATATCGTTTTTCCCCTTTTCTTTCCGTGTTGTTTCTTTCCCCGTTTTTGAATCCAATACAGGTTTTTAGTTCGTGCACCATCGAAATTCGTTGCTACGAGTTGAAGTTTCTGCAGAAGCTGCCGATCGGTTCTCTTAGGGATCTGTATCCTACATGCAATAATCTATATCCGTGATTTAGCTGGAGCTGTTGATATTTTCTCCTTATAATCTGTATTTTTGATGGTACAAATTTACACTTCCTCACCCACTGACGTAGACATCATCGTGTGCTCGCATTCGCCACAGGTCCAATGCACTCCTCGGCTGTCATGCGGAATGTAAAATGCTTCTTCGCGTGACTAATCTGCGTGACTCGATTACAATGTATTCTTTTCATCTCTTCGAATATAATGGACTCAAAGATATCAGAATCGGATGGAATTCTGAATTTTAATGTTGCTCCATTTCAAAAAATTATCTTGGTCTTAGGGTATTATGTCCTTCATAAATAAGATTTCTTATGGCGGTCGATGTCAGAGCAGAAGTTGAACGTCGGTGTCCTACCAGAAAGCGTGTCCAGTGTACTTATTTATCATTTTGTGCCGGAGTGTGTTGATCCATTTCGATGACCATGATTCATGATTTTTGACTTGTAACTGAATTAGTTATTTATTATTAAGATATTGCATGTAGGAACTAGTTATCTTGTGTGAATAATTAAAATCAGAAACCCTAATTCCTATTCTGGGCATTAAGGCTACTCAGTGAATTGTCTTCTCTCTCGTCTCGTGTCTTAACAGGATTAGGTATATTATCGAAGTCATGTTTCAATATTTGTAGAATGGATTATCCAAAGAAACGTCACTTTCTGGGGGAGATGAACTGAGGACCTTTGGTTCTTCAGGTAGCCTGGTCTTTATCTGATTTATTGATCAGTTATGTAGGGAATCTCAAGTCCTCCGGCCATTCCGTATTTATCTTAATGGATAAACTTGCCGCTTTATTTCTATCGATTCCTTATTTCATTTCATTTTAATCACAAATTAACAACGTAATTGCATTAATTATGCCCAAGTAAAACAATCCAGAAGATACGCCAATGAAAAAAGAAATCAGCACATGAACGATTTTCCATGATATTTTATTCGTTAGACTTCAGATCATGGCCATTCGTAACTCTCAGAATTTTTATATTGATTGGTCCAGGAACTACAATTTAAGCCACCTGATGGAGTTTTCTTTTGACTTCGTAATTATTTAATGTTTGAACTTTTGTGCTGGCCGGCGCCATACAGTACCAGCCGATGCTTGACAGTTCCTAGTTTACTGGCCAATCCTTGATCTGCTATGGATTCTGTATTCATTGAATTTTTTTTTCTTTGCATATATTTCCAGAAGAATCAATACACATTTCAATTCGTGCTGGATGCCATTCTGTCAACGTGTACACATATTTTCCGGATGCAAGTAACTTGTCGAAGAAGATACTTCAATCTATTCTGGAAAGTAAAAAAGCAGAAAGAAAGAGAATACAGTCTATAAAAGGAGCTCGAATACTTCCATTTCTCAACCTTCCTTACACAAGGGAATAAAATGACTATGTTTGAACTGTGAAAATCATTGATGCCATCCATGGCTAGGAGCTGATGCCCCAAAACAGCAGGAATATCGTTTCACACGTATAGAGACGTGATTGTATCTAAGATTTTTTTTTTATAATAGAAAATATTCCCTGCTGATGGTTTTTTTATTTTCCGTTCCACATGTTATCCGTCTTTGCCTAAAATGCTTATGCTTTTTTGGCCTTTTTTGATGTAGAAATGGAATTCTAGTTCTAGTTTTCTTGAAATGTTTATGCAAATCTAGTTTCTTGAAATGTTTATGCTTTTTTTTAGTTCTGAAGGTTTTGATCCAAGTCCACATTGGGTATCAGGGCTGGAGAGAACCTGATCATCTTTAGGACTGGAATAAGGTAGAATAGGAGAGGAGGGCAAGGTTTCTTGTCAAACACTAATGCACTTTCATACCAACGGAGATCTCCTGTCCAGAAAGCCTGAATGGATACACAATCAAATAATTAATTTTAACTAGAAAAAGATTGCAGAGAATTTAATGAGGAAATTATATCATTTGTATTTAGGAGAAACTAGTCCTTACATCAGCATTGATATGAGATGTTCAGGATTATTTTATAAAAGGATTTTACAATCTCTTCTGTGGCACCCCAATGATTGAGAAAAATGTAAAAAAAAAAAAACTGTCTGAAGACGGCGAGTAAAAAACATCCGCATTCCAAGACTTGGGGATCATGAAGGAAAAATGTCCATAATAAGTGAGGGGGGGGGGGGGCATTCAAGAAAAGTTAGATGGCATTCCGTTGACGATTAATGCATCAGAAAGAATATCCTTTGAACACATTTCGGCGTGCTACATTGAAATAGCAAGGATGGCTCTAGAAGTCTCTAAAGGTGTCTATTCTTCCTTTTTTTCTTCGTTATTCCTAGGATTACTCGTGAGAAATATTTTATGGATGATAAGTAAATTTCTCTTCATTGTATGACAAAGACGACGTCCACCTTTCTATAGAATACTTGTTTACCCATGGTATCTTTTACCTTGCCCTCTACACACTCTTCATGATAACACTCAAAAAATTTCTGGAGATATATCCATGAACGCATAATGGCGTGTCGATGCAGAGATTTTGGGCTTGCATGTGTGAACATTGGCATTCACATTCACATGTAACTTGATGTTCCTACCATTGTAAAAATGGATATATGATAAAAAAAACGAGAATATTTAGTTTTTTTCTGCGGACGCATTTTACCACTACGAGTACTCTCTTTTTCTGGTTAATTTTCTACTTTATTGATCCATTTCTCATTTTCACTCTGTGGTGCACATGCTCCAAACAAGATTTTGCAACGTCTTGCTTCCTCTGGACTTTGTCATATTTTCAGTTATTTACGGAATAATAATAATGTCATCTCTTTCTTAATGCTTTCCAGTGCGCGAAAATAACTTATTGGTGGTATATTTACTTGTTGAATTCATGAATGTCAACGGCCAGGGAAATGATACGAGTTAGAGTTCTCCGGGACCAGAATTCATCTACCACTCCCATCATTGTTTCCTTCACACTCTTACAGTCTTCAGCTTACAAACTATTTCTTTCAACTTGAAATTTCTATTAGTGGTTATGGATCTATGCGATCATACACTCGAAGCATCTTTCCATTTCTACGGTTCTTCTCTGATTTTCCATGCATGACGCAGCAGAAATCTACCAAAGGGAAACAAATTCGTATTGCTCATCATTTCCTGGAGTTGCAGACTGAGAATATCTCATTCCTTGTGCTTTCAGCTCTTCTGGGTCACCAATCTTGAGATTTTTCTCGTTTCCTTGAATGGTGTTCTTCTACAGCAATCTCCATTTACTTAATCTTATCTAATACAATATCACCATTTAATTCCTTCCCATGATCCATATGCTTCATAAGTTTGCTAATTTGGGTGATTTCCTTTGCTTACAAACCATTTATCTTCCATCAGTGCTAACAAACCAAATGCTTGAATGGCTCAAACAGACTCCAATGCCCGCGTTCTCTGAAGCTATTTCTGACAGCAAGAGCTGAGCTTAATCGCCTTCTAATCTCATCCCCAGGGGGTATTAGCGAAGGAGAAATGAGAATTATCAGGTAAATCTGGATTGGATACCAACTGAATCCATGTTTTCAGCTGTGAATAGGAACCTGCTGGTCGGTGCCCGTGTGTATTGGGTGTTTCAAATAATTGATCACGTGGCCAATTCTGGAAAATCTGTTCGTGGGTTGACTTTTCAGGCCAGTTTTTCGATCTGATAGCTTGGGTCACATTTTTATTCTTAATAAAAAGGAAAAAAGAAAGAAGAATGTGGTGATCGTTACTCGTGTTTTGGTTCGGCTTTTCAGAGGGGGAAGCCATCGTTTCAGAAGGAATAAAGGGAGTGGATTTTTTTAACAAAAGCCCGATATTTACATGTCTATTTTGTTTTCCGACTTCTTTAAGGGATAATTATTCGTAGAGATTAGATGTTGCTTTTTCTTCGATCTTTCCGGATATGTGGATTGTCATCGAGGAAAGAATCCAAGCGTGGACAGCCGCTGGTGCGGCGCTGATCTGATGGCGCGCCGCATAGCGACGCGCGTCAGTCAAAATGGGCTCCACCACATTCCCACACCCAGCTTCTCGCTCTCTCCACCCCCAACCACCGGTAAAGGCCACGACGCCACCGCAAGGTTTGGGTCTTTTCCTGGCCCCCCCACGCCCACTCCTCTCCCACCGGCCCCTTTCAGTTCTCTCTCTCTCTCTCTCTCTCTCTCTCTCTCTAATCTGGAACATCTAGACAGGCGCACTTTTCTCGGTGTTATCTAAGGTTTCTCGGCATGGAGTGCCACGCGACAAGGGAGCAGGAAGAGGAGGACGGAGACGGCGAGTTCCTGGCGCGCGCCGAGGAGGACATCGCCGTGGTAGCGAAGCTGCTGATCTGGCTCTCCCGCTCGAAGACCTTCGGATCGTCGGTCCCGGTCTCGGAGCTCTCCGCGCCGGCGCCGAGAAGGACGCAGATCGCGCCGGCGCCGCCGAGGATGCCCCGGCCGGAGGAGGAGGAGGAGGAGGAGGAGAAGGCGGACAAGCGCGCCAGTCCGACGACACCGCTCTCCTGGAGCGGCAGATCGGCGGCGTCGGGAGCTCTCTGCGACGACGGCTGGTCGGCGCCCTCCCCCCCCCCGAAGAGGCGCCAGAAGACCACCGCGCACCTGCGCGGAGATCCGGTCCTGCTGCCGCGGTCTTCTCCGAGATCGACGCCGGCCGCCGCCAGATCCCCCACCGTCTTCAGATCGAACAAGGTCAGTTCCCTGGTCTTCTTCCCCTTCCCTTCCTCGTAGTTTCTTAGACGTAGCGACCACTTTCCTTCTGCATTGCTCTCTCTCTCTCTCTCTCTCTCTCTCTCTCTCTCTCGTTGTCTGTCTGTCTGTCTCTCTCTCCCCCCTGGTGGGTGGGGGGGAGTGCGGGGTGGCGGTAGGTCCCCGCTTGTGGTCTGCTATCCAGGAAGAGGGAGGGCTTGTGGAAGGTGCACACGCGTCACGAGACCACTTACCAAGGAGTCCCACTGTAATTACTCGCCATCGCCGGGGTATCCGCGAGAAACTGCCTCCACTGTTGGTTGGACGGCGGAGGAGGGAGGGCAATGGATGCGGTCGATTCTGCTGCGACGGACGCTGCCGATCTGCCGCCGCCCATTTTTTTATTAATTTCTATACCCGCTTTGTCCTCCGAGGGAGGAGGGAGGGGGGGGGAGAGGACTCCCCTTCTTCAGATTCTCGTCGGCTAGGAATATCTCCGGCGATCTCCCTCTTCAAGGAGGCTTGATGGCTCCGCGCCATCCGGCGTTAATGGCGTCACGAGCTGTCTCGAGTGTTCCCTTCTTCGTCCTCCAATCTGTGGCTTCCGTGTTCTCTCTCCGCGGGGCTCTCCTCGCTGGCCCGTGATGGTGATGGACTGTTGCTGCGCCCGTTGAGCTCAGGTTGTCGCTTCTTCTTCTTCTTCCCAGGACGTTGTGATGGCGGCGGCGGCGGCGGCGGCGGCAGACGGCCTCCGGACGCCGTCGAAGGTTTCCGCGATTGTGGAGCCTTTCAGATTGACATCGACCTGTCCGAGCTCGGTCGGCGACAGGCGGCAGGGGAAGAAAAAGGTACACATTCCTTCCCGTCTCCCTCTCTCTCTCTCTCTCTCTCTCTCTCTCTTTCTCTCTCTCTCTCTCTCTCTCTCTCTCTTTCTCTCTCTCTCTCTCTCTCTCTCCCTCCCGTGCACTCTCCGGACATGTAGCTATATAAGTAAGGAGTTGGAGGGTAAAGGAGCAAGTTTTAGAGAGAGAGGGGAAACAGTGGATATAGCAGGAAAGGCCCACCCGATCGTCTGTGTTTCTCCATCTTATGAACGCGTCTCCACGTTTGAAGGGTTCTGACGAAACCTTTCTTCCTTCGATGAATGCAGACGGTCATGGAGCTGCGAGCCATGAAGGACTTCCTGCTGCAGGAGCAGGCCGAGCTCCGCAAGGTGGGGTTATTCCCTCTCATCCTCTTCTCTGCAATCCTCCGTGAAAGAAGAATCCCCGATAGGATCCATGAGTTTGGCAACTTTTTCTTCTTATTTTTTGACGAAGATGAAGATGATGATGCTGATGCTGATGCTGATGATCTTGTGCTTGATTCAAGCAGGAGCTAGCCAGACAAGAGGAGATCTACAGCGTTCTGCTGGAGGAGAACTCGTCCTTGAAGAAACTGGAGGTAACCCTCTCTCTCTCTCTCTCTCTCTCTCTCTCTCTCTCTCTCTCTCTCTCTCTCTCTCTCTCTCTCTCTCTCTCTCTCTCTCTCTCGCTCTCTATCTCTTAGTGGTGGCATCCAAGTATTCTGTTTAGATCTTTTTGTATCATTTCCTTAGGATTAGCCGGTACCTTTCGATAATGCTGCAAATCTCGCCTCCCCCCCATCATTTCCCCGATTCCTCGGCGATTAAAATCCTCCTAGTTGACTTTGAAATCGCTCGTCAGATCGGGACCATGCCCATAAAACCAGAAATGGGTTAGTTTGTGTCGGTCAGCCAGACCTCGAATCCAAGGGGGGCTAAAACTGCCCAAATCCGGAAAGATTGCTTACTCTCTTGCCTCATGCCGTCAGGCGCTTCCTTCCTCCGTTCCTCAAAACAGCAATGATTAGAGTCCAAGGGAGGCATGCATCGAGAGGATTCATCTCCAAAATATCGAGTCTGTGAGAGCTCTTATTTCTGAACTTATGGGGTTTTTTATAAATAATTCAAGGTGCTTAAAACACACAAAAGAAACTATTTAAAAACATACATCGTGCACAAGTATGTGTGAACAAATTAGAACCTGTGATAGTTTTTCTTTTCTTTTCTTTTCTTTTCTGAATTTGTGGGTTTTTTTAAAATAAATAAATTATAAGTGCTGAAAACACATAAAATCGATCCATAAACATTTCTCTTCCATTGCCTTTCTTTCTGCGTAGCTTCCTAATGGGTATATGTATCTCTTTCAGTCAAGCGGACCGCCCCCGAAAGTCTCTGTGTCTCCTGTTGACCCCGGAGAGGTCAACACGGAGAGAACTCAGCCTGGGCCCGCCCCCGAGTACGAAGGAGGCCGAAGAACCCGGCCGACACCTCCTCCGCCTGCAGTGTCCTTCCCCTTCGACCTCAACCGTTCACCTGATGACGAAATTTAGACCGCCACGATCCTCGAGTTTTGTACATAGATGGAACCGCCTCACTCGCCCTCATGGTTTCAGAGCCGAGCCTCCTCAGGGGCATTTCGGTGATTCCCATTCCAATAAGGAGCAATCAAACTATATATATATATTACTTATTTATTTATATAACTTCGGATAATACCAGGGAAAGAGGAGAAGAAGAAAAAGAGTCGGTTTTCCGGATTAGAAAAAATGGCGCCTGATTACATCGGGGAGGTCTACGAGCTTCACTTGGCGTGTTTCAGACAGCCCTCGACGAGCTCGATGCAACGATACAAGACCAGCTGGACGGGGTTCAGGGAGTGGGCGTGGAGGGTGAGCTCACCGTCGTCCTCTCGGCTCTCCGCTTCGATTCCCGTCACCAGCGCCCGGAGCGGGAGGAGCCACTCCGCGTAGGCTTTCCGCAGGTGGGCTCCGGTGAGCAGACCCCCCTGGTTCCTTCCTTCTGTGAAGAATGAAGAAAAGAAAAGAGGCGCTGACCAAGACCCGAAGTCAACCAGAAAAAGGGAATGAAAACGGCCGTTGACCGACCCACCATGATTTTACCTGCGGAGGCCCTTATCAGAATGAATCGGTAGAGGTTGAGGGCGGCCAAGACCTGTGCCCGTTATGATGACGTCAGCAATAGAAGATAATTGTGTTAATGGGCGATGCCACTAATGGGCCTGGGCCTGAGAAAAGTGAGTTTCAGAAGAGTACCGGCACGCCGTCCTGGGGGAAGGCAGGGGGGCCACCCTTAGGCGGTCTGAGGACCAGCTCGACCAGCTCGAGGGCGCTCCCGCTCCAGAACGAAGGTGCGTCTTCTGATGACGAAGCCCCTCTCCTGCTCTCCTGGTTGACCTCCTCTCGGACAAGATCCAGAAGAAGCCCGACCTGTCCACGTGGGGACTTCCATAAGCGACAAGTGGCAAGACGTGTCTCGGAGACCCGGGGGGAGCTCACCATGTCGGGAGATGAGCTATTTGTGATCAGAGCCTTCAGGACGTCGAACCTTTGGAGACGCGGAATATCAGACACTACCTGGAGAAATTTCGCCGAAAAAAATAAGAATAAAAATTATGAGATCCATTTCGGGGAAGAATTATGGGTAAAAATAGAGGAAAACCAGATACTGATGGGTTTTTTTTCCAAAAATAGGCATGACAATTTCTGGTGAGTGGGCAAAAAATATATCGCTGATATAGAAAAAAAATTGATGTTTTTCCGCACATTAATCAGGCTTCCACAAAAAGGGTAGGACTGATAATCATTCTCCTCTCTCATCGCATCACTGAGGGGGAAGTCGTCGGGAGCCACATCCTCATGCAGCTATGCGACGTGGACGAGTATGATGGAACTGAGTTGACCGTCCGAATAATCCACGTGGAATCCAATCACCCAATTGAAAGCATCAGCAGAAATCATGTCGAATATACCATAAATGAAGCATATCCACAGATGCATACATGCTTGAAGAATCAGCTGCCAACAAAATGGTTCTTCAGTGATGGCCCCAAGAAACAAAGTTAGAGACTGATGACAGGAAACCAAGCGGGTATTTAGCCTCATGGAGATGAGATTAGTATCTTGAGAGCAGATAATTTCAGGCGGCAAAAGCATGAGTTGCAGTCTGATACTGGAAACGCATCAAACAGGTTAGAATGGAAAGGTATTTGAACTGGCAGCTGAGGGGCAGGTGTTGGTTGGTACGATAACTGAAAATGAAATGAAATCCTTCAAGTTCTTGTAAGAAATTTTGATGTTCAGTGCAAAAAAAATAAAAAAAATAAAATTATAACTCACTAGAGTTTAACAGATACGAGTGAGACAGGTTTTTTTTCTCCTGATTAAGCACATATTAATAGAGCATGACAGAGAAATATTTGATAATGTGCTACATACTTTCTTAAATGCAGAGAAAGCTTTCTTCCTCAAAGCTGCATCTGCGGAAAATACCATCACCTTCTCGAGAGCCTGAAAGGTTTATTTGCCATAAGAGAGAGTGCGTAGGAATGATGGTCATCAATCACATCAGCCCCACCCTCACACAAGTAGTACTACCTGCAAAGCAGCAAAAATGCTGGGGATTAGGAATGATCTCTCTGTACAATCATTATCTTGTTCTTCATCGACAGTTGCATCCATGATGTTTAGAAGTAGTTCAACACTGTGAGCTTTAATTTTCCATGAATAATCGGTTGATGAGAGCAGATGCTTCAGCATTCCAACTGCTTGCCACCTCTTAGTCGGACTTGTGCGAAGTTCATCCAAAAGAGTAACCACTAGCTCTCCAGCGGCTTTTGCAACCTCCTCAGAGATAGAACCCCATAACACTGATAAAATGTCAGAAAAACCATAAATAGGGAGAAGTAATCAGCCATAATTAATGAGTGAGTAAAAGAGTGATGGATATTTTTTAAAGATATAGAAAAATTACGAGGAATATGTCAAAAGAGACCTGCAAGACATGCGCCACCCTTAGCTGATGGCAACCAAATCACAAAGTCATCTTCATCTTCTGCAATTTATCATAAAGAACTCAGAGAAAAGGAAATATCTAAAATAAACTATAACAGAAAAAATAGAAAAGAAAATAATACCTCCCCAAACTGCCCGATTAATTGATTCAACATCATCTCCAGTTATAAGGCCAAGATAAGACAAGCCACAAATCGGAAGGAACTGAGATAATTCTTTCACAGAAGAAATACAGCTTGAAACTTTGCTTGCCAGATTACTCATGGAAAGAAATGCCTAGAGAAAAAATTACACAGGAAAATAAAACAGCCTAAGTATCAAGTAAAGAAACCTGTCTAGTTAATGCATGAGAGGCAACTGTATTTTCCAAATAAAAAATAAAAATAAAAATTCCAAAGTGAGCACGACTGACCAAGTTTTGTATTGTGTATAGACCGAGTATAGCACGGAGCTCTTCTTTCCTTTCTCCCATCTATTGCATGACAGAAGAAGAAACGAACAATGCAGATTGAGATGTTTTTCGTGCACCAGGTGGCTTCATAAATGCAAAAATAGGATGAGGTGCCCTCAGAAACTTCACAGACCGATTTATCACAGACTGACTGAATGGATATCCCGATGCCAATAACTGCTCTATAAAGATCAAGAAGAGAAACTTCATCTTCCCCATCAAAATCTGAAGATATAGTACGGGTAACTTTGAGAACAACAGGAAGTGCCACTTTTATTTGCTGAACATGATGCCTCCTGACGCTAAGGATCACTAAAGACAAAATTCAGTACGTCAACTGTCAGGAGAGAAAAGAAAAATTCAGCAAATCTATCTTCAAATGTCAATACTTGAAGTTCTTATGTGAACTTTCGAGACCATGTGACTTCTTGTTTCGAATTAAAAAGTTAAAACCCAAAAAAAATGATTTATTCCACCAGAAAGAACCGGAAATGGACGGACAAACTACATCACAAATTGAAATACAAAGAACAGGCCTGTGTGTTTCAATAGCCTTGTGTGGTTCTCTGAGGGATTACCTTTCGATAGTCCTGCCAAGAGAACGACAAAATCAATGGGCATTGTAGATACTTTAATTTGCGAATCTAATGCCTGGAGCAAAGTAGAGGATGTCAGAAACGATGCAAACAAGGATCATCGAGCATCGTACTAGCTATGCAGATATCAGCGCACCGTACCATACATGAGAAATTAAGTTTTACCCTTCCAAATAATGAATAAACTAACATAGAAGCATTCGTCAAACAACTGTTAAAGAGAATGATTGCAATGGCTTGACTGATGCACGCTGCTCATGTCCAATTTAAACATGAGATATTAAAACCAACGACAGTGTTTCACTTCACTCTATGGCATAAAACTGGCCGAGTGAAGATTATAGAAAATTCGACAGATTGTTTCCCGGGTGAAGATCAAGTGTAAAATCGAAATTGGATTTTTATCCTTTTGGAAAACACTTGGATCTATGCTCTGTTCTAACCAAGCATAGATCAACGTGATAAGGTTTATATCAATGCATTGAAGACGACAGCGACATTGAAAATGTATAAATCACGACTCGACATATTCATTATATCTTTTAAACCTATCTGTAAAGAAAATACAGAAAGATACGTATTCCATTCGAAGAAAAACAAATGACCTCTTTTTGCTACACAAGTTCCAACCATGGAACATAGGTAGAGAAATTAGTTCATAGATCACACAGTGATTATCTTCACAAATTTCTTTCAGACGTGCGGTCCTCTTTCAAAAAAAATGTTCCTCGTGATACAAATATTTCGCTACGAGGAGGATATATTTTCGATCATAAGGTTTGGATTATTTCGACATGTTCATGTCAAATTCGCACAGTATACCAATACCCAAGATATATGAACGAAAACCCAATGCGAAATTATATTTTCCTAGGGAATTTACGGAGGCAAAAGCAAGTTTAAAGTTCATCAAAGTTAATCTACTCAAATTACAAACACGATATCAGGCATGATCTGTCTTAGATAAGTAAACGAATCAGAAGTCCCTGGTAAAAAGAAAATGAAATAAACCTCTCCAATTGGTTACTCGCCTCACAGAGCATTGAAAGCATGTCACGTGGGTTGCAAGTGGTAATGAGGTAGTCTATAATCCTCTCCGCGTACTTCCTACATTCATCAGAGATACCGACGAACTTCACCACCAGCTTCGGAAGCTCCAAAGAGAGTGCATCTACCGTCATCTGCAAACGAATGCGACGACACATCAAAGGCGTAAACACCTACCTCAAACGGGGACAATTTTCTGAAAAATATTAACCTCATCTGCAGTAGGAGATGATAAAAATTCAAGGATCTCCAGCAACGCCTCCTCCGAGACGGCCTCCCTAGGGACAACATTCTCCGAAGCTGACGGTGACCATTCCACTATGTTGGTCAGCAGTTCGACAACCTCCGCGATCGCCTTGTCTCCGCCACCGTAATCCCCGGCGGCAAAATACTAATACAAAAAAGAAGAATCAGGGCATAGTGCAGAGCAGTTCTCCCTCCCTGTCCCCCAGCTAAATCCCGCTCACGCAGAACGTACCTTGGAGCAGTTCGTGAGGGCCTCCCGCAGCCGAGAAGAGACCGAGGAAGAAGGCTCGCCGTCAAGCCACACCCTCCCGATGTCGATTCCCTCATGCGATGTCCTGGCGGAGGCCATGACTCTGGATTCACGCTCCTCTTCCTCCGACCTCGCGGCCCCACCGGTGCCTGCTCTCGTCAAAGGGGAAGGAACCCACTGGTGGGAAAGGGGCTGAGAAATTCAACCAACTTTGGGCCGCCATACTTTATTTATTGGCCCGCCCGCTTAGTTAGATCTCCAGCCCATCGCCCTAAATGGGCCCCCAAAGGGATCGGTGAGATCCTCTCTCTCTCTCCACCCCACTTGGTTAGAACATCCGGCCCATTCAACAGAAGGCGTCGCCCTAAATGGGCCCCCAAAGGGATCGGTGAGACCCTCTCTCTCTCTCTCTCTCTCTCTCTAGATCAATGGCCATGGTCGTAGGTGGAGAAACCAAACAAGACAACATTGGTTGTAATACTCGAGTCAACGTTTTATGGCCCCAAAAAATAAAGCACGCATTTTTTATAATTCCAGTCCCGGGCATATTTTACAAGGCCCGTACGCAACCTGGTCCCCGATAATGAGCTCCAAAGATACGCCCATCACATGAGCAGAGAGAGAGAGAGAGAGAGAGAGAGAGAGAGAACAGGCCTCAAGCTTCCGAACTGGGTTCCATCGGAGCCATGTCTGCATTGATAAATCTAACTTACGATCGTCGAGCCAGAATAGTCAACGCATGATCGACTGGATGGGTGCGGATTAAGACGCCATCGGGAAAAATAAAACCGCAAGGTACGCATAAACTGTGATGGGAGCAAATCGGATAAATATGAGGCAACTCTCCCCTGATTCAGATCGAGCGCATCAGCAATAAATTATGTGAAATTATAAAAAATCGGAGTCGGCTCCATCAGAGTCGCCCATTTGGACTGTTCAGGATTAAAAAAAAGTCAACGTCGGCTCACGGTATTCGGTGTGGCGGGCAACTAGCAGTATTATAATGCAGTTGATTAGTCGGAAACCCCGAAGTCTTCTGGCACCATCTTCTACGATGGCGCCGCAGAGATTAACAAAAACAGAGTTAGTCTTGTTTCAGCGCCGCCGATTGCGTCTGTCATCGGCCATTAACAAATGCTCGGGATGTTGATTAGGGACAAGCAGATGACACCCACCTGGGGACGTGCGGCGCTCGCGTGGAGTCCGGTCAAACCGCCCGCCTGAAGATCCCGCCGCGAAAGGTGCCGGAGACGGCGGCCAGAGTCGCCGGAAATGGTGGAAAGGCACACGATGGGAGATTCTCGCTCCTACGCTCCCGGCGTTCTGGGGTAGATCGACGCCGATCGTGCCGGCGAAGACTCAGAAGCTTCCGCGGATGGTCACCAGACAGATATTCAACGAGACTGCCGATCTTTGATAGCAGTTTGTGTACAGGCCCCTGCCCCCTCCAGCAAGTAATCACAAAGTACAAAGATCTCACGGATTCTCACATGGCGCACCTACGGATCAGATAAATTGAAAGAAGGGGAAGGAGAGGGGCGGAATTTCGAGGACGAGAGCGCGACTAGATACAGGCCGCCGCTGCGGGCGTTGGATGCGGCGGCGTGGGAGGGAGCCGGGCGGAGAAGCTCCGGAACTGTAAATCCGAGGGGGAAACCTCCTCCTCCTCGTCGAAATCGGGGCCCTCGTCGAAGTTGCGGGCGTAGCTCAGGGGATCGTACCTGAAGTCGCCGGAGTGACGGCGGGACCTCCCGATCCGCGACACGAGATTCCGGCACTTGTCTTTCAACTCCGGGATCTCGTTTGCCTTGGAACGCACCCAAGCTGCGGAGGAACTCATCAACGACGGTTCCTGCGCGCCCTCGGTCGGTGATTCCGCCGGCTCGCCGCCTCTTCCCCGGAAGCAGCAGGAGAAACAGTTGGAGGAGCGAATCCTCCGCTTCAGAGAATCTCTGCGAAGGTAATCCATCGGATCCGGCTTCCTTCGCTTCTTGCGCGATCCAACCCTGCGGCTAGGGCTTCGAGCGGGAGGAAGAAGACGATCGAGAACGGGAATACCCAGTTGGCAACGGCCAGCGTAGGGCCTTATGCGCAGGCTCTCCTCAAAAGGGGTCGGGACAGGAAATATCCAGCTGTCTTTTATTTTATTTATATTCAATTGTATATTCCCGTTTCGCCCGGCGGTTTCGTGGCCGTTACCTGGTTTTGGCGCGCACGCCTCCGCGTTCGACTCGGAATCGGCCGGTTCCTTCCCCTACGACTCGGGTTAGGACGGGCCCACAAATTGGGCTCGAAAATTGGATATAAATGGGCCTAATTGGGCCTTGACATATTCCTGTCACGAAAAGGGCCCTCTTTTTTGTCCTTTCGACCAATTTGCCTGCAAAAGAGCGCGCCGCCTCATCAGTGCCGCTCCTTTCCAAAGGTCAACCCCTTTCCCGCCGACTTAGTTGACCAGACTGGAAGGAGCTATTTAAAAGACGGCTTTGTAGGGTTCTAGGGCCAGAATCCCTGTTTGGCCGGGTCTGGCCAAACAGATTTTAAAGAGCCGATTTTTTAAGCTTCGGCCTGATAATCCGGGCCCCACCGGGCTGGGCTAGCTTCGGGCTTTCATACCATTTATAGTAGCCAGCTATTGCACGGAAGATCAAACGACCGGCTACGTGGATTACCTAGATTTCTAATTATGGCAATTTTCATACTTGCAGACCTGGAAAAATGGATGGTCTGCGTTTCTCCACGTTACTCTCGCTGTCCGTTTAATATCAAAAAATATATTTTCCCCAATTCGGTTAAAAATAAGAATTGAATAATTATTTTATTTGCCGAAATGTGATGCCTTCGGGACCAACTATCTTCAGGGGATATTTGACCGATTAATTATAATCTAACCAATTGGATTTGAGTAATTATTATCATTAAGATAAGTGTCAATTCAACGTCAACGTTGACGTCAACTTGGTTAGCCGCGTTATTAATTATCGTCTAAAAATACACGTGAAACACGGGAAACTTTTGATTTTGATAGCTGTTTTGCGTAGAAATCCTTTTTTGATTTGAAAATTATCAAAATTAACACTGATAAAAATATGTTGATAGATGTGTCCTTTTTACAAGCGCGATATCGTGGTACAGTGTTCCGCGGGCATTGTGAGAAAAGGGTAGATTCCGCGAGCTTCCATCGTGACCGCTCGATGGAAACATGTGCGCTGTGCCGAGGCAAGAGAGGGATGACGGAATCACGCTTAAGAAAATGTTCCCCACGGGTACATCAGAACGCCCAGGAGATCCTGGTGGTGGTAACGCCGCGGTGGCCCTTCGTTTGTCACTCGAACCCCAGATGCCGCGAATAATATCTGACAAGATACCGTCGGCGATGTCCGTCACTCGTCGGTGACCTTAAGCCTATTTGTCCCGCCGATCACCTCACCATTCTAGTGGACGATGACGCGGCACGTCATCCGATGTCCCACGACGACGGCTCATCACACCACAGGTAAAAAAAAACCCTCGGTTAATAAAACCAAACCGATAAAAAATTACGTATTTGCAAAAATACCTTATAATATTTATAAAGCTGCAAAGCCCTATTCTGGAGAAAAGATCTGAAAGCAGAAAATGGGGCTATCGAGAAATAGATTATATAACGGGTTTTAAATTCTATTTAAAAATTTTCAGCTAGGGGAGGGGGGAAGAAGAAGACCAGGGCCACGAGTCGCCGGTCCCTGAGTGTGCCTTCCAGAAGTAACCGGGAAGGGCCTCCGGCGATGCGGCGGAGCTTTCCCGGTAGAAAAATCTGCCCTTTTTCTCTCCTCACCCAGTACATATAAATGGGTGCTCTCTCTCTCTCTCTCTCTCTAGCGTTTAACTGCTCATCTTCATCTCCTTCTCTTGAACCCAATTTCGCCCCCACGCAGGCCAGCTCAGATATCTCCTCCCCCAACCCACCCACCTGCCCCGTCCGAACCTTCTCTCCTCTGATCTCGCGCCCTCATCTCCTGCTTCGGAGCGGCCCCGTTGGTGCCCAGATTTAGTTCGGGGGGGATTCGCCGGTATCGCCATGTGCGTGCGGGAAGTCGCGGAGGAGGAGGCGGAGAAGATGGAGAAATCGGAGCCCGAGAGCTCCCCCGCGGTCAGAAGTTCTGCTACTGTAAGGACCATTGCGATTTGCCGTCTTCGTCTTGCTATCGGACGATCCTATTGCCTTATTCCCTGTTCATGTTCATGCTCCTCCCCTTTTGAATCCTCCACGAAGATTGATGGATGGATGGGTGTAGGCTGGCGCTTTGATCTCTGTGCCTGGTTCGTTCGAATCCTGTTCTCGTCGTGTTCTCTCTTGGCTTGCAGGTTTGGGGATGGGGGGTGCAGAGATGGGTCGGATGAGGATTTCCCTTTCGAATTCTTATGGATGCCGAATTTAATTATTTCGATCGAACTGGGAATTGGGTCGCAGAAAAATCGATTCTTTTTGTATTCGAGATAGTTTTCCATAATTTTTCTTCTTTTAGATCTTCAGCAGTCAATCATTTCCAGATGAAATGTTGTTGCGGATATCAGTTAACCTTTTCGTGATTTTTGTTCCCTTTCCCTTTTTCTGCATTAAGATTTTTGCATTTTTCATAATTAAAGATGCCGGAGCAACCTTTTTTTATATTAAAAAAATTTTGCGCCGCCATTTTAAATGCCAAAAATCAGACCAGAGATGTTCATTCCATCTTGTTCTGAATGTCGCTCAGATAAATCAATGCCCTAATTAATACTTCATTAAGGAGAAAAAAAAACTCAGATAATAAATGAGAGTGGTCGGCAGAATTCGGCATGCTAGCTTCGGCCAATTAAAATGGAATGACTTGCCAATCTAGGAAAGCAGAAAGATCTAACGATTGTTCATGGAACATATAATGCTGTACATTGCATGATGAATGGTTCGTTGATCATTGTATGTGCTTGGTTTGGTCTCCTGTGCTCAGAATTTTCCGCCCTCCCCCTTGCTGTCTGCAGCTGGAAAGCATCTGCGAGAACACGGTGACTCAGGACGTCCCACTCAAAGGGTCAGAGGACAACCAGAAGGCCACAGGGAACTACGTCCCCGCGATCCGGCATGGCGAGTGGGCCGATATCGGCCAGAGGAAGTACATGGAGGACACCCACGTCTGCATCGAAGACATTGCCAAGAAGTTCGGTTGCCGGGCACTGGACCAATGCTCTGTTTCCTTTTATGGAGTAGGGCTCTGTATCCTCCTCGCCAATCACTTTCTTTTTTCTCAATTTCTGAGAGCAAAAGGGTCGGAAGGGTTTAATGAGAAAGTTTGGGTTTTTACCTATCCGGGTTGATCCGACGACAGGATTTCTTTTTCTGATTACTTCCCCCCTGGTTTTACTTCTGTTATCGGCATGGGGTTGGCAGATGGTTCGTACCTGTAATTGAGCTCGACTGCACTGGTGCAGGTGTTCGACGGCCATGGAGGGAAGGACGCGGCGCACTTCGTCCGCGACAACCTGCCGAGGCTCATCGTGGAGGACGCTGGGTTCCCTCTCGAGCTGGAGAAGGTCGTTGCTCGGTCCTTCGTGGAGATCGACGCCCAGTTCGCCCAGACCTGTTCTGGCCAGTCGGCGCTCTCCTCCGGCACGACGGCGCTCACCGCCATGATCTTCGGCAGGTCCCGTCCTCCTCAATCGGCTCTTCCTCAGTCGCTGTTTGATCACGGAATTGAGTGAAATTCTGGTGGGTGAGTGCAGGTCGCTGCTTGTCGCCAATGCCGGGGACTGCCGGGCGGTACTATCGCGGGCGGGAACGGCGGTGGAGATGTCCAAGGACCACCGGCCCTGCTGCGGAATAGAGAGAATGAGAGTGGAAGCACTGGGGGGGTTCATCGACGGCGAGTACCTGAATGGGGAGATTGGGGTGACGAGGGCTCTGGGGGACTGGCACCTGGATGGAATCAAGAGCGCCGATGGAGGGCCGCTAATTGCTGAGCCGGAGATGAAGATGATCACTTTGGGGAAGGACGACGAGTTCCTGGTCATCGGCAGCGACGGGCTGTGGGACGTGTTCACGAGCCAGAACGCGGTGGACTTTGCCCGGCGGCGGCTGCAGGACCACAACGACGCGAGGGCCTGCTCCAGGGAGCTGGTTGAGGAGGCCATCAAGAGGGGGGCGGACGACAACCTGACGGCGCTGGTGGTGTGCTTCCAGGCGGAGCCGCCAGCGGCGGCGGCGGTGCAGAGGTCCCGTGTCCGCCGCTGCATCTCAGCGGAGGGCCTGCAGAGCCTCAGGGGTCTCCTGGGTGGCGGCCAAGATTAGGCCGGGAAGAAAACCTGTACACTGTTCAGGTAGGGCGGCAATGTGTTTTGAGGAACTGTAAATAAGAGGCAGAGACTCATGCGATCAGTTTGTCATTGATCACCTGGTTTAGTAAAAACCAGGAGTTTTTCACAGGGAGTTGATCGATCTCAGGCTCCCCTCTCTCTCTATAGATCTCAGCCCGCCTCGCTATAATGAACCTGGGGAGATCTTCTCTTCGGCACCGATCGGGGTTCGGACATTCTGAGAGTTTCCCCTTTGAACCTGGTAGATTCTAATGATCGCATGGTGGTTATCGCTGGAAAACGACACGATGATCGGACCGCGTGCACCAATTCAAGCAGGAATAATTGGGAGGATACTTCCATTGACTGTACGTAGTAAATCCGTCGTCAGGATATTACTGCGATCATAGAATAAGCGTGGATTAAACGTCATTTGAGATAAAATGAAATCGGCGGACCTTCGATGGGTTTCCTAGGGTTCTTCGTCGTGAAACCTAGACCAATGCTGTTCCAACAACAGTTCCCACCCTCGCCGGGGCTCTTCCCCTTCCCGGATTCGTTCGATCTGGAGATCGCTTAAAGGTAAAATGCCTGATCGAGAGGTTCTCTAAAAATCAACAAACAGCTAATCACCAACAATTTCCTGATTCACTGATTACC